AATAAAAAATGCTCATACAAAAAGGCAAAGGTACTGTCCATTAATTAAAATATTTCTTAAATAGATGTGTTTTGAGTCCCCTTTTGAAGGTATCAAGTTTTATTTCGCTTCTCAAATCATGAGGGAGTTTACATGTCGTTCATCTTATCTGTTTCAGAATTGTGAACACTGTTGATCGATCCGATATTCTATAACCAAATACCTCAAAGTTATCTATGTTCACAATTCTGAAACAGATAATAAGATGAATGACATGTAAACTCACACAGACGAACAAGCATCACAATGTAGAGCCATCTAGAGTAGCCCCGCCCCGTCTACGTCAGTTTGGTGGTGTACAGTCCAACTTGTCCACGATCCGACGGCAACTAATAATTATTGTCGAAATTTGTTTGTTTTAGAAAGGGTTTTTAGCTTTAGTAAGAGTCTTACGGCAGTTGCAACACTATAAGTATAAGGTCATATAAGTGCCTAATAGATGTGTTACAAGAGAGTAACAAACATCAAAAAAGAAGGAGAGAGCAGACGATAGATGTTTGACAGGAAAGAATGAGCAAACCGCAATAGAAAATCCACCTACCACCCACTTGTCGAGAAGAAAAGCGAGTGTCAAAGATGGACGTCTTAGACAATGAATGTCATTATTATCATTATTATTAGTATGGTTTATCCACACACCAAAAAAACAGAAAAGTGGGAAGACATGGAATAACATCAAGAGGCTAGCCCAGGATAGAGAAAGGTGGAAGGTGTTAGTCCGTGGCCTATACCCTGGTGTAGGGTGAGAAAGGCAATGATGATGATGACACCAACAACAACAAAAACCCCGTGAGGGAGGAATGGGAAGTGGCCGTTTGTACAGGTGATTGTCTTGGACAGGTGGCCGTAATACGGGGTGCCCACTACGGATGGGATCGCCCGACTCGGTCGTCTAAAAAAGAAATGTGTTTGTTTTCAGTTTCACTGTTCAGGCGACCGAGTCGGGCGATCGGCCCGATCCAGCCGTTGTGGGCACCCCGTTTTAAGAAGAGCAGAGCAGACTCGATAGTACGTGAAGCTCCTGCTCAAAGCCTCCTACAGCAGAATCATTCCAGCTGAGCGACCACTTGGGAGAAGTGGCAGATGGCGGAGAGGGAGGAGGAAGTAGGAGAGGCCTATCATGGCCTATGACGAACCGACGTGAGGCTTTCCTCTCTCAACTTCAACTGGTCGCTCTCTCTTTTCTTCTCTCTTCTCTTTCTAACTCTCTCTATTTCTCTCTCTTTTTTTTCTTTCTCTCTCTCTCTTTCTCTCCCTCTATTTCTCCCTCTCTCTCTCTTTTCTCTCTCTCTCTCTCTCTCTCTCTCTCTCTCTCTCTCTCTCTCTCTCTCTCTCTCTCTCTCTCTCAAACACACACATATACAAGCAAGAACGAAAAAAATTATAAAAACCATTACTGCCTGTTACCTGTGATGTATCAAAACCTAGCAGCAGACTAAACAAAGAGCAGCATTTATAATAAGCTGCATGCATCGTGAGAGAATAACGGCAACAACAAATAAAACCCACCCAACACGCCAATATGGACTGCTCGTTTCTTTAAAATGTCCCTTACATCTCTCTAGACACTCCATTCAAAGGGGTTTGGGGGGGGGAGGGGGGGTCATACGATCAAAATGGACGTGGTGGGTTAAAACTAAGCAAGCAAAAGTATGTGTGTCTCTTCCGTGAGTAACCACATGATTAATACCTGTATTCCATAGACTACCCCTGAGGTCTAGCATGGAGGAGGAGGAGGAGGAGGAGGAGGAGGAAGAGAGAGAGAGAGGGAGAGGAAGAGGAGAGGAGGAGGAGGAGAAGGAGAAGGAGAAGGAGAAGGAGAAGAAGAAGAAGAAGAAGAAGAAGAAGAAGAAGAAGAAGAAGAAGAAGAAGAAGAAGAAGAAGAAGAAGAAGAAGAAAAAGAAAGTTTCATCTCTTACATAAGGGCTGCCTTTCCAAAATGGTGAATTCAATGGCAGGGTCTAAACCAAACTTTTCTTTGAAGAGGTAAAGATAGGTCATAGGGAGGGGGAGGAAATACAGGAAGAAGTGGTTTTGTTTGTTTTAGTGGAGGTTTTACGGCCCTCACAACTGCATAAGGTCATAATAAAATAAAATGAGGATTAGAGGTATTACAAGAGAGTAACAAACATAAAAAGAAAGACGGGAGATAAGGACGATAGATGTTTTTTCTAGGAAAGAGAGAAAGACGAGAGATGGAATGGAGAGAGAAAACCTTGGGTACTTTAAACTACAGACTACTTACAGTTTTTGTAGACTTGAGAAGTGAATAAAAGATCCCTGACGGAGAGCAACTAGAGCATTGTGAGCCAGGTTTCTGAAACCGGAAAATTGGGAAAAATATATATATTATGGTGATAAGTGGAGAGAAATTTAATTGAAATGTTGATCCAATACGATGATTTTTACTGGGAGCAAATGATAGTTTCACTTTCAAAACTCATTTTTTTACATCAATATACAATATAATTAATGTGCATTCTTCATCACTCACAGCAAAGAACTGCAAAAATACACGGAAGGAAACATAAACTTCATACACAATTTATGTGCACGCCCTATATACAGAGCAAAAGTCACAGCAGCAGTGCAATGTTTCATCCTTTAGCATTCAATTAAATAATTCTGCTATCATATTTAATATCAACTGTTCCGTATTCTAAAAAGAAATTAAACATTTAAAAAACAAACCTATCAGTATGCACAGGGATGGGACTGATATTTATATAAAACTATTCCAAAAACCCAAAATATTTTTTTTAAAACATATAACAGACAAGAAAAAAATAAAGTATCATTTGTCACAAAAAGAAGCCGTCTACTATGATGAAAAACAATCCCAATGTGTATGAGGATATGTGAGGCGCGCTGACAAAATCAGTTACTTCTCGCAATCAAAAATAGAGATACTAACTAAAAATTGACACATGGGACATATTTGTAAATTCAAAACCAATCCCATTCTCTTCAAGTTTTACATGTATGTCTTTTATCATTCCATACATGTACTACATGTAATAAATTGTAAAAACTCAACCTATAAATTTGACGCATCTATTTCCATCGGCCTAAAATCCGAGAAGTAACTCATTTTGTCAGCACACCTCACATATATGGCAAGAACGGAGCTCACCTATCTTAATAATAATTATAAAAATGTACCCATAACATTTTCTCAAAGATACAAGTAAGATAGTACAGTAAGAAATAAAGGGCTGCTGCCAGTAATATTGGGCTGGGAGGGTTGGGGTTGTGGAGGAGAATGTACAGAAATAAAGGGTTCAGCCACATAAATTATTGTCTGGAACGGTGGAATTTTGAGAAAAAAAACTAGCAATGGTTCTCAACCGAAAAGTATACTCTCACCACATTAATCACAGTATTATATAAAAGCGAATTTAAGCAGGGTGCATCAAAACATAATTATATTATTATACACAAACAAATACACCCCACACCAGTCAAATAAATGAGTACACAAATGAAATGCAAAAAAAAAGAAGGCATTGGGGTGAAATCTGGCACTCAATAAAATAATCAAATCAAAGAAATTGGCATTTTTGGATGGGGCCAATGGGCGATTTTTTCTCATTTTCCATTTTGGCTCAACACCTTTGTGTCCATTCAAAAACACATTTTTGAGTGGATTTTACTGAAAAACATTGAGTAAAGTCACAAAAAATGTAAATTTTCAGTTTCCAAGGACTCTCAGGCAATGGAAGTTGCCAACTTTGGAAGGCCATTTCTCGCTAACTTTACCTCTGAAACCAGGCGATCATGACCTCATTCAATCGCAAATATTTCGACTTCTATTCAACGTAAATGGATATTTTTTTCTCCTGAAGGAAGGCAAATGACCTGGCTTTAAGATTAAACCAATAACCACATGCCCAAAACTTGACGAGTGCCTGATTCCACCACGTCGTGACACATATTTAGAGACAAAACATGCAGACTTACAAGTGAACTGTGTCAGGTGGGAACGACTTGCCCACCAATGTCTTGAACGGAGCAGGGTGCTGGGAGCAGTCAATCTTCCGCCCTCTTTGCCGCTTGGAAGATCCGACCATTGTGCAGTTACAACTTGGCAACTGAATGCAGCAATTGCACACTGACAGCAACACAGACAGCACGAAGAACAACAGGAACAATGGGTGCCTTCTCTGATCAGACGCAGCCATTGTGGAGCGCACATTCCTTTTCACTTACAGCTCATAGAAGAAAATTCACCACGACACACATCTGATAGGAGGAGGAAAGGTTTAATCCTTTGCTTGGTCGTTGAGATAAATCCTTCATTGCCAGATTTCAGAAAGTTTGACTCCTCACATCACAATATTCACAGCATTGAATTGTTCTACCACAGGAGGTCACAAACTGTACACTGGAATATAATTATTTAAATAAATTATAGGCCTGACGATATTGTAATTAAGACTATTGTATGCTTGATTGTCTCTACGTATTCTTACCCTCCACAAGCTAATAATTTTTTTTTATTCTACTCTTTATAAAATACTTAGAATATTAAAGTATGAGACACGATATCAAATATCAGGAATTATGAATGGCCAGTCAAAATTTCATCATCAGATATTTGGGAAGAAATCTGCAATAAATAACGGCACTTAACTTCCAAATTGTTATCTCCATTGCAGCACTGCTGCAACGTCCCGGCCTAATTAGGCCTAAACAGAGTAGAGTAACAGTTGAAACTGATTCCTTCCCTTTAACAATAAATAGAGTATTTACATTTTAAAAAGTGAGCCTTTTTAGTAAAGAAATCATCTTGATGAAACAAAGAGCATCCCTCACACTTCCATAGAACTAATTCTTAATTTTTAAAACGAAGAGACTATTTCTCTGAACGCTCGGGAAAATAAACTTGACCTCTGTTTTTCCAAATGGTTTGATCCGTTCCCAAGATTTTTTTGTTATTTGCAAGAGTTCGGCGTCATCATTTATTCTGGGAAGACTGGGAAGAGAACAAGCATTTTTTGTGACATCGATTTCAATTTCTAATCTAGAGCTAGATTTTTAGAGATGTCTGAATATTCAGAAACTTCAATTGAAGTTGGGGCAACGTTCCCGTACTATACTTCATTTGAAAATATGCCTTCAAACGGTACTACTGCAACAAGACTGCTCGACTTTGGCAGTGCTGGCTAATGTGCACAAAAACCTCACAAAAAAATCCCTCCACACTCCACGCCTCCCACCCCCTCCCCCAGTTCACACCTTACATACACACACACAAACACACAATTTCGAGAACAAAAACATTTCAGAGAAATAGAGTTCATGTTTATTTTCCCGAGTGTTCGAAAAAATAGAGCCGGCCTTCAAAAAAAGGTGCAGCAACAACAGTCTGATGACGCAGGAAAAGGCCCAAGGAGATTCCATCAATGAGTTTGAGACTAGATCTAATCTAGATCTAGATTATATAGATATAGATCTAGTTCAGATTTATATTTTGTATTTGTAGTAGGGCCTACAAAAAATAACATGGGCCTTCTCCCATTGCCCCTTGTGTGTATACTCTACCATCTTGATCTAGATCTAGATCTAGATCTAGATCTGGATTTAGGCCTAGGCCTACTACATTTACACAAGGCCTCCCATAACGAGCCACCACCCCAACAAACACAATAAAGAAGAGACCTAACCCTAACCCATGCCCAAACCTTACCGCCATAATAACATCCAAGCCTCAACCCTATCCTCTCTATTTCATAGTGGTCGCCCCCACACATTTTGATAAGAGAATCTAAAATCTAGATTCTAGAGCTCTAGATCTAGATCTAGCCTAACCTACGGCCTAAGACTCACGGCAGGTATCCACAACAACCCCTCCAATTCTCTCACTGAGCCCTTGTTACTCGTAGCCTACTTTACAACTGTGTAGCCTTATTTTCAAGAACCTCACAATTCCCACAACTCAGAACGAAAGGCGAAAGGGTGGAAGTGGAAGTGGAAGAGTGTAAACAAGCCTGAATCTCTTCTTTCTCATGAATGGAAACGAATTTCTAAAAGCGTTTTAAACAAAGACGTCTTTCGCAAATATACCCAATAGACAAGGAGGCACCAAATATACGAGACTATCCATCTCCAGTACTTATGCCGCTGGCCTACACAACACACACCGCACTCTGAGCAAGGATCGAAACAGGGTGAAAAACCGAGGCAGGGAAGAGAGGGCTTTATTTTGGGGCTTGCGCTCCAATTTCGTTTACACTCTTCATAACACAGACGTTCCACTCCATGAAAAGCACCTCCAAAGTGTGCGCCGACAACATAATCTACGTACCACAAAGAGCAGAACTACTGCAAACTATGATTTAGATCCAGGTCTCCGTTAGAATGTACACAAACAGACAATACAACCAGGGGTCTCCCGGTTAACCCGCACATTTCGTTCCTTCGTTCCGAGCCTGCCATCCATCTTGATTTTTCGCTACTGCTGTGACGTCATGGGGTTAGCGAGGTTCTCTGAGTCGCGATTGGTCGATCTCGTCTGAATAAACAGAGAAGAGGATTATCTCAATCTAGGCACCAATATTTTCAATGAAATAACGGGTTCGTCACTTTCTCCTACCGCAAAACCTAACGGACCAGAAAAGCGCTCCTAACCACTTGTGTGAACTGAGGGTTATGATGCGAATTACTTGCACCCTTCTTTGTTCGTTGAGTTGTGAGACGTTTTCTGAAATCTCGGCTCTGCCAGTTGGACATGTCAAGATGCTTTGACCTGAGAAGAAAACTTTTTTTCAGAGTAGATTGCATTGTACGAGTAGGCTACAAATGCTCTTACACTTTTATAAAAATCTTGCACAAATGGTTGAGATTCTGTCCTCGTTGCCTTATTCTTCCAAATGCTAGAGTTTTACCTACGTTTACAACGGAAAGCTACGGACTACGGGCACCGGTACTACAGATTAAAAGTTATAAACCTGAGTTACGGTACTTTCTTCAGGTGTTGCTTAGAGCAGGTCATCTTGATCACAGCGACATTTCGCCGGGAACGGTTAATAAAAGTAAAATTGAGTGCAGAACTTACGGTGCCCTAAAACAACAACATGTACATGTGCCGCCTATTGTAGGCTTTGATCTACTTGAAATATAGATCTATAGTGTATAGACTATTTTAGAAGTAGAATGTTTGAGATAGGCCTGAATCTTGAACAGCGCTTTCCCACTTTTTGCTTTTTTTTTTTGCTTTTTTTTTTTTTGGGGGGGGGGGGTTATAGTCAGAGCCCACTGTTAATTTGAAGGTTAAATTTTCCTTACCCCCAACACCTAGTCTATCTGAGATTCAAGAAACTCCAGGCCCCATATATGTACGTACAGGCGTAGGGCTATTATGTATTATATTTTCCAAACGGGTCATTAAACCCCCCACCCGTAAACCCTGGGGTCATTTTGTACCCCCGGGTTTGTATTCTTCACATTTTAGAATACTTTTAGAACGAAGATCTCTTTGGAACCTTCAGTATTTCTCACAAAATCATTTTGATAGGTAAGGAGGTAGGTAGGTAGGTAGGTGGGTAGGTAGGTAGGACGGTAGGTAGGCAGGTAGGTAGGCAGGTAGGTAGGTAGGTAAGCATGAAGGTTAGTAGGTAGGCAGATAAGCATGACAGTTAGTAGGTAAGCAGGTAGATAAGTAGGTAGGCAGCTGGTAGGTAGGTAGGTAGGCAGGCAGGTGAGTAGGTAGGTATTTAGGTGGGTAGGTAGGCTGCTAGGTAACTGGTAGGAAGGTAGGTAGCTATACAACCAGCACGACACCACGAAAAGTACCGCACGTTAAGGCGAGCAAAAACAAATCAGTCAACGACGATGCACGTATCAGTTAGTAGATGTACATATTGTACTACCATCACATTATGGCGGATCACACGACTTGGAAATGAAGGGGCTTGTTTTGTTTAAAACTCTATCCGTACGCCTGGGGTCATTTTGTATCCCCGGAGTTGTATTCTTCACATTTTAGAATCACATTTTAGAATACTTCTAGTACGAAAATCTCTTTGAAACTTTCAGTATTTCTCAAAAGTCATTTTGACAAACTACTATGCAAAGCGTACGGATCGGATTAACGAGTACATTTCCTCTTTGGAAAGTGGCGGCACATAGTTCCCCACGTCGTATGGATACGATAGTAAAATACGACGTACGGATAGGGTTAAGTGGTGGCACAGAGTTCCCCACGTCGTATGGATACGATAGTAAAACACGACGTACGGATAGGGTTAAGTGGTGGCACAGAGTTCCCCACGTCGTATGGATACGATAGTAAAACACGACGTACGGATAGGGTTAAGTGGTGGCACAGAGTTCCCCACGTCG